AATAATATTATTTAAGTTATTAATAAACATATTTTAAGAATGTTCTATTTTATTATTTATTGATATATCTTATATTTATTTAATAATAATATGCAAAACCAACTCTTCACATCAGACCCCTGCTTATAACAAATTAATTCCTCAAATTTGGTATAATCGACCTAAATTATTTTGTAAAATAAAAGTTTCGAACTTACTAGTTCCATTCTTTATTTTATAAAATAATTTATGTGGAAATCATTTGAAATTTAATTTAAAACTACTACCTACTCCTAAAAATTACAATTTGAATTTACCGCCATCTGTCAATTGTCATTTTAGTTCCAGCTCCAAACACAAGGTGGCGCCAATTTGGTTTAAAAGTTTAACATTGGCGTGGGGTCTCTAGAAGATACGTGCTTTGTGGTGACCATCACAAAGCACGTATCTTCTAGAGACCCCACGCCAATGTTAAACTTTTAAACCAAATTAGCCCCACCTTGTGTTTGGAGCTGGAACTAAAATGACAATTGACAGATGGCGGTAAATTCAAATTGTAATTTTTAGGAGTAGGTAGTAGTTTTAAATTAAATTTTAAAATTTCCACATAAATTATTTTATAAAATAAAGAATGGAACTAGTAAGTTCGAAACTTTTATTTTACAAAATAATTTAGGTCGATTATACCAAATTGAGGAATTAATTTGTTATAAGCAGGGGTCTGATGTGGAGAGTTGGTTCTGCATATTATTATTAAATAAATATAAGATATATCAATAAATAATAAAATAGAACATTCTTAAAATATGTTTATTAATAACTTAAATAAATAATATTAGATAAAATAAATACAAATAATTAATACATATTTAATGAATACTTACTTGCAGCAAATAGGTATACAATCTCAAATCTTTAAAATACCTATCAATAATTTAAATGTAAAGTAGAGACTAGGATATTACATTTTATTAACACTAAAATAATATATTTTATAAATGTCTTTTAAACCGAGGACAAATGTAATATAGGTATTGTATTAAAAGGTGAATCCTTTTAACTATTCATTCAATGATAAATAGGTATTTTCCTTCCAAATACAGATGGTGGTATTACTCCACTGCTTTGTGTATTACTCTCTTATGTGAAAAATGATTTCGAAATCTAGTCCAGTGATAAATTGATTATCAATTAGTTGTTATACCCGTTTGTCTTTTTATGATGCAGGTGCATGGTGAATCAATGAAGTTTTTCTCGAAGTTTTCAACGTAGCACCCACAGGTAGCACCAAAATTATTGCAAGACACAGTAGGAAATAGAAAAACAAAACATCACAATTTTGCAAATATCTAAGACGAAACTATAAACAGAAACCAAAAGCCAAAGCCAACAAAAAATCACTAAAATCAGACGGAAAAATGAGATTAACCAAAAACATAAATAAATACACGTCACATCTTTGGAGTCTTTGGTTAAGTTTTTCTCCCATAAAGCTTAAAAATGGAGTAAGAAATCAGAATTTTACCAGTAGCCCCATCTAGAGTTTGGAGCAAATAGCATAAAAAATGTCAGTTGTCGGTTTTGACCTTGGTCATTCACGTGGAACCTCTATGTGCTTTGTGGTGACCATAGTTCTACTGCAGATGCGTTTTGTTGCGACCACTCTGACACCGGTATTGGCTGGTTTCGCCGTTTTGTTGTACCAGTAAACCGATTCCGGTGTAACTTTTATAGAGCACTTTTATTTACATTTATTTTCATATTTTCTTATGAAAAAATATATATCAAATATTTGCATAATATAAGTTTCCAGATATTCTTTCTAAATCAAAAAAATAATATTTATTTTATATTTTATACCAAATATTACTTTTTAAATATATAATAAATATTCAATAAATAAATTAATTTAAATATTAAAAAGCAAATATTTAATAAATATGTATTTCAGGCAATAAATATTTAAAAAAGATATAATATTTATTTAATATGAAAAAAATATTTAACAAATATATCGTGCTATCTGGGAAGTATGACAAAAGTAACGAATCGATTAATTTTTGAAACTATTAAAGAAAAATCCTTAATGTTTTTATTATACGCAAAACACTCTGTGATGTAGCAATTATACTTCTTTGTAAAAGTATGTGCCTTGAATTTGTATATATCTAATTTATGTAGAATGTAGAATTTCAAATGCAGTATCACAAGCCCCACTTCTTTCTATTAAAATGAAGGGGCGATACGAAGGTTGACGTAAGAGATAAAATTGTTACACCTGTTTTATTTTATAAACAAAAATTGACGTTTACGAATCTAAAGACGGTTTTCCACTAAACGGACAGTTGAGTATGTTTTGTTTGTGTTTTCTGGAACTTGATAAACAAAAACAAAACTGAGACAAACCCAAAACTCTTGTTTCCATTAAGCGGACTACATCGTGTTCTAGTTTTGTTTTCGATCTTTATCCACTAGTTGTCGCAACTAAGTTAGAACACGTTTTTTTTAATATTTTATTTATATTTATATATTTTTTAAAGATAGCTCCAAACTGAAAATACATATAAAAGTAGTTTAAAAGATGTTTGTGACATCATAAAAACCTAAAAAGGACAATATTTGGACTGAACCAAGTCTGGTTCTGACACACAGATATATATTCCACTAATAAAAAATATAAAGGGTCTATCAGTGAAAAAGAAAGACTTGAGGTATGGTTTGCAGCGCGCCGCGAGGTAGTGGGGAAAAAGTAGCAGACTTGCCAAGACCTGCATGATTTACCATTTAGTTTACAATGGAGCGTTGGACGGGTGAGTATCGCGGTTACACAGTTAAAGCCTATTTTCAAAATGGTGAGAGTTTAGTGCAAATCATTGAACTGTAAGAGTTCAGTGGTGCAAACGCGTCGTGACTTTCGACTGCATTTTAACATACCGCGCACCCAACGGGTTCCATCAGATAAAGCGATAAAAAAATGGGTAAACAACTTGGAACAAACAGGATCGACGTCTAAAAAAAGGGTAGTAGTGACAAAACAGTTCGAACTCCTGAAAATATCGAACGTGTTCGACAAGCAATGTTAAGAAGTCCACGCCGTTCGGCGATCCGTCACGCCACACGTCTTGGAATAAGTGACAGATCGATAAGAAGGATTCTCCATAAGGATCTTGGATATCACCCTTACAAAATACAGGTTGTGCAATCACCTAACCCGGGTGATTATCCACAGCGTATCCGTTTTTGTGAAATTATGCTTGCCAAACTGGAAGAAAATGACAACCAAATTAATAATTTGTGGATGAGTGATGAGGCACACTTTCAACTCTCTGGTTTTGTTAATAAACAAAATATTAGATATTGGGCGGAGGAACACTCTCGTTTACTTCATGAAACACCTCGTCATGCTCATAAATTGACAGTATGGTGTGCGATTTCGGCAAATGGAATCATCGGTCCAAATTTTTTTGAGAATGAGGCTGAAAATGCCGTTACCATTAATTCTGTACGATACGTTGCAATGATTCAGAATTTTCTTACACCTCAATTTGAAGGCTTTCCAGCGGATGAACACACACTTTTTCAACAAGACGGGGCAACAATTCACACTGTAAGAATTTCAATGAATGCTGTAAATGCTTTGTTTCCAGGGCGTATCGTTTCTCGAAACGGGGATCAGTTGGCCCCTCGGTCTCCCGACCTAACCGCCTGCGACTTTCTTTGGCGATACCTAAAGACAAATGTGTTTGCAAGTGATCCACCCAGGACAATCCCAGCTCTTAAAAAACGGATTCGTGACGAAATTGCAGCAATACCTGTCGATATGTTGCGCAGAGTTACGCAAAACTTTCAGGCACGACTCCAAGAATGCATAAATTGTAACGGAGGATATTTGGCGGATGTAGTGTTCAAAAAATAATTTTATTGATATTGTAAATCAAATGGCTACTTTCTCATTTTCCATTAATGTATTAAAAATTATTTAAAAAAATATTCTTAAACAGTAAAATTATTTTCCAAATCTTTCCGTTTCACTGCCGGACCCTGTACTTATATAAATTTATAAAGCGTTTCAAAATAAATTTCTTATCTATAAAAAATACGTTATTTACTTACCTATTAGCAATTTGGTAGAAAATTTAGACTACACAACACGACCATTTCCAGTAAACACTCTAGTTTCAAAACACGTTAAAACCTTTTGATGTTACGCCCGAGTGGGACTCTAGGAACTAAACTCCAAGTGCCGCAAAACACGCCAGTCTTCAAAAAGTTGCAGTTTTAGTTTTTAGACACGAGTTTGTTTTGTCCGTCTAGTGGAAAACCGCCATAATAGTTCTCAAGTCGGAATAATCTACATTTCCGAGTTTTAAGTCCGAATTATCTATTTTCCGAGTTCTAAGTCAGATTAATCAATTTTTCAGTTTTAAATCAGAAAAATCGGTTTTTCCTAGTTCTAAGTCGGAATAATCTATTTTGCTGTTCTAAATCAGAAAAATCTACTTTTCAGAGTTCTAAAAATCGAAAAAATCAATTTTTAAGAGTTTTAAGTTCCAATTCAGAAAAAATCGTTTTTACAGAGTTCTAATACATTTTTTTAAGAGTTCCAAGTCAGAAAAATACATATATTGTTGTTCTCGGTTTCTGTGCAATAACTATAGCAAGTACTTTTTGTTAAAAATTATTTTTTTATGTATTAAAGTTTCTTTTATCTATGGCTTTAAATAATTACATACCGTTATCAGAAACAATTCCTAAATAGTTCATTTTCCTGATTTAATGTGTGACCCAGAAAAAATGTTTCTAAAGTAAGACATGACTGACAAAGACCGAATATAAGTTACGTCCGTGAAAACTACGAACGCATCTAGTTTAAATACAAACTCTTAACTTAAAAAAGAAAAACCAGACATACGTGATTTTTCCATGACCTACTTTAGAAACATTTTGATCGATTACTCCACATATCCTGTTTTCAAAATTTGATAAATAAAACAAATACAAAAATACGAAAAAATAATTTATTTCAATCAACTAAGAGTAACATAAAAAATAGATCAGCCTTAAAATAAGAAATAGTAGTTAATGGCACAAACATTTAAATAATTCTCAATAATAAGCCCCTTTTTTTTTCAACAGTTGCTTAGTCTCAATTCTCTTCACTCGTGAAGAATCATGCAACATTTGCTGTCTAAAATCTTTAGGATGGTATTTCTTCTTTTTGAAATCCTCCATCTCCTTTTCAGACACGATCGTAGTCGATGGTTTAACTTGGACGTCATTTTCTACCAACCACGTGCTATTCAAATCTTCCAATTTCGTAGTACTGGGTTTTATCACTCTTCTCGGCCTGTTTTTCACGTCGTTCAGCAGCTGGCTCATCAATCCGAACGTGTGTTTTCTCAAATCTTCAGAAGAAATGCTAGTATTCAATTGAAGGTTATTGTCTTCTTGGTTTGATTTTTTGTTCATCTTCCTCTTTTTGAGTTTCTTACTTTCGCCTTCATCGCCGTCCATACTTTTGCTCAATCTTCTTTTTTGTTTGCTCTTCTTGGTATTTGAATCTTCTATTAAACTAGAGCTAAGTCTAGGTTGTTTTCGTGGTACATCTTCAATGGAAGTACTATTTCTCGTTAGAGATTCGATTGACTTACGTTTCGAAGTAGATGGTTCAGTTGAAGGTAAGCTTTTTCTATTTTCTTTGGATCTTCGCTTTGTGGTCGCTGAATCCTCTTTGGCAGCAAATTCGAGGGACAGATTCATAGATACGCCGCCTTTGTCTGGAATCGTGGTGCAGAAAGTGTCGACCAGTTGATTGATGCGAGAACTTAAAGCTGCATCTCTGATTTCTTTAACATCGATGTTTTCTATGATGTTAATAGATGAACGTCGATTTCGTTTGCCTTTTTGAGACGATAAAGCCTCGTCTACGTTAAGATCTTCATCGCTGCTAGAATCATCGACTTTTATAATCCTAGACTTCCTCGGTTTAGGTGTTGGTTTTCTTTCAAACTTAATTACATCTTCGTTTCTATTCTCGACGTTGATGATACGGCTCTTTCTCTTTTTCTTCTTATCATCCAAATCGTATTCTTCTCCTGACAGCAGTTCAATCTTTTCTTCGTCGCATATGAAGGAATCATCATCATCGTCGTCATCGTGATCTTCAGATCTTTCAGAATCAGAATTAATCGCTTCTCCTTCATCGATGATGGCGTTACTATCTTCGGATGGAGTATCTTCTTCGCCCTCTTCGGCCATATCGTCGATGAAACTGTTGCCGCTCTCGCTGTCTTCGTAAGAGCAAGATGAAGAGTTTTCGTCTTCCACCTCGAAATCGTCCATTTTTTTAGCGATATATTCATCCAGTTTGGCGTTGGCAAATTCTTCCAATGACAGTCTTTTGATTTTATCATCTTCGATTATCTCTACGCTGGCGCTGTGTACATTTTTCTCCCTCTGATTCTGTGATACGTTCAAATCAGCGTCGTTTTCTACTATCTCGACGCTCATATCGAGATTGTTCTTATTTTTTTTATTTTCTTCAACGCTTTGAATCAGCGGGACGTTCAAATCGGCTGTATCTTCAATTATTTCGACGCTGATATTGCTTTTGCGCTTCTCTTCTGCATCATCAGAAGCGAACTGGCTGTCGTTAAGCTCAATCGTTTTCCTTTTCTTCTTCTTCTTAGATTTCGGATTGGGCTCAGCATTATCCGTTTCTTTAGCAATATCCTCTTCAAACCACTCGGTAAGCGAAAATCGTTTCTCTGTCTTCGATTTGTCATTGGATAATCTAGATGTAAGCGAATCTCTTTTCGTTTCTTTGATTTCTTGCGATTCTTTGGCCGCCATTTTGGGTGAAATTACGTCTTCTTCGTCTTTCGATGCGACAACGGAACCTTTAGATTTTCTCTTAGTTTTTTTGATAATCGGAGAACTAGGAAGTTCTTCTGAAATCTTCACTGTGCTAAGTCTTTTAATTTGTTTATCTTGTTTTTCTTTAGCAGCATCTAATGTATCTTCTACTGCTTGCTCGGTCGTATTCTCTTTTAGCTGCCCATCTTCTTTTACAGTATCATTTTCTAAAGGTTCTGCATCAATTGCTTCATCTTCATTAACTACATCTTTAAAACTGATTGCCATTTCGTTAATATCATATTCTTCATTTTGTTTATTTGGCTTTTCAACTTCTTCATTAGTACGATCCTCTTTCGCGTCTTTAGATACCTCTTGGCAAACTTTATCATCAATTTCTGTTTGTTCATCAATTGGACGTCGAATTAACTTTTCTTCCGTCGATTTAATAATTTTTTCTATAGGAATTTCTTCTTTTTGTATTTTTTCTTCGGCAACAATCTCTTCAGGCTTTTCGTGTTCGTTTTCTTTTTGGATATCAGTTGTAGATTTCTTAGATTTTACCACCGATTTATTTTTATCGAAGTTTTCTGCCTCTTCTTCCGACGGAACTTCAAATTCATAGTCATCGGACATACTTTTCTCTTCAAATACGTCATCTTCGTCTTCTGCATCGGATTTTTTGTCTTCGGGGTTATATTTTTGATGTGATGTATCTTTTGTGGCCGTTTCTTCTTTTGTAAGACTTTTTTCTAATTTTGCAGGACTTTTTTCTACTTCTGAAGGGCTTTTATCTTCGTTTGAATAACTTTTCTCTAATTCTACAGGACTTTTATCTTCTTTTGTAGAACTTTTTTCTAATTCTACAGTACTATCAACTTCTTTTGTAGGACTTTTTTCTACTTTTGCAGGACTTTTTTCCAATTTTGCAGGACTTTCATTTTCTTTTGTTGGATTTTTTTCTACGTCTGTAGGACTTTTATTTTCTTTTGTAGGAATTTTTTCTAATTTTGCAAGACTTTTATTTTCTTTTGTTGAACTTTTTTCTAATTTTGCAGGATCTTTATCTTCTTTTGTATAACTTGTATCTTCTTTTTTAGGACTTTTTTCTAATTTTGCAGGACTTTTATCTTTTTTTGTTGGATCTTTTTCTACTTCTGCAAGACTTTTATTTTCTTCTAATTTTGCAGGATCTTTATCTTCTTTTGTATAACTTGTATCTTCTTTTTTAGGACTTTTTTCTAATTTTGCATGACTTTCAATTTCTTTTGTTGGAATTTTTTCTACTTCTGTAGGACTTTTTTCTAATTTTGCAGGACTTTTATCTTCTTTTGTTGGATACTTTTCTACTTCTGCAAGAATTTTATTTTCTTCTAATTTTGCAGGATCTTTATCTTCTTTTGTAGGTCTTTTTTCTACTTCTGCAGGATTTATATCTTCTTTTGTAGAACTTGCTTCATCTTTTGCAAGGCTTTTTTCTTCAGTTACAATTGCCTGAACGACAACTGTTTGTTTTTTAGGTGATTTATCATTTAGGTTTTTTTGATTAAAAGTTTTTTCTAATAGGTCTTGGCTTTTGCTTGAAATCTTTTCATGTAATGTACTTATTACTTCTTGATCATTAATCGTTTCCTTCTTTTCTTCCCAGCTTATTTTTGAGGTTTCATTCTCTTCAGGTTGTAAATCGACCACTTTTTTAACAGTTTCATCAGATTTCACATTTTTTGCAGGTGCATCTTTTTCTGTAGGTGTATCTACGCATGTAACGTCCAAGTTTAAACAGAACGTTTCATCAACAGACTCATTAACAACGTCATTTTGTAATTTGGTGCTGTCCAAATGACTTTTTTCGAAGTTCGTAGTATCCAAAGTCATGTCCACATCCATGGGTTCCATATAACTGTAATCAATATCTTTTGGCCTGAAAACATTAGATACTCTACCTACAGTTACGTTTTGCGAGTGCATTTCTTTGTTTCCTAAATCGGTCAGATCTTCCAGGACCTTTTTATCGGACAGTTGAATAGTTTTCGTGTTGATTTCTTTTCCATTCACATCAATATTTTGAGCCAGATTTTCTTTGTCGCTACTTTCACTCGTTTTAGAATCGTTAAGGTCTATTTCATCTTCGGTAGACTGGAATTTGCTTTTGGACAAATTCAATTGGAAGGACCCATCTGAACCTTCACTAATGTGAGTATTGGTAACAGTTATTTGCTTTTCTGTGATGGTTCCTGGTAGGAATACCGGATCATCTGCTGCTGTTTCTTTGGTTGTTTCAACTGTTAAACTATGTTCTTGTTTCTTATTTGCTTCGACATTTTCTTTATTGGGAGACTTGGTAGATGATTCTTTGTTTTCATCAAAATCGATTTTTTTTGTTTTAAGCGGAGGTTCTCCACAGTCGCATTTCATATGAACATGTTTTTCCCCAGATTTACATTTCTCAATCAGTCTGGGTGATCTCCTAGCTGGAGAATCGGGAGTTGTTCTCCCGTCTTCCAATGATTTATTCAATAATACACTCAGTTCAGATTTTATGGGATCTGGAGTTTTTCTTCCTCCTTCCAACGATTTTTTCAATATTATACTCAGTTCAGCTTTTATGGGATCAGGAGTTTTTCTTCCTCCTTCCAACGGTTTATTCAATACCACATTGAGTTCTGGATTTGAGAGAGGAGTAACTTTTTTTGGTGCTTCTTTGCTTTTATCATTATCTTCAGAATTTTCATTATCTTTTTTATCGTTTGTGTTTATAGATTCTCTTTCTTTGCTCAATCTAGATTTAGCTCGCGTATCTTCCGATTCTTCAGATTCGCTGATGACACTGAGATCCAGATTGACTTTAACTTGAGCTTGGTCAGGCTTTCGTTTTGTTAAGACGACAGACAGTTCTGGTTTAGTAGGACTTTCATGTTCTTGTTCTTTTTCATCGATTGGATCGAGTACCACGGCATTTTCGGTTACCGAAAGTCTCCTTTTCAGTTTGGATGGTGTTCTGGGAGCAGATTTTTTATCTTCTTTTTCTTCTGCGGCTTCCACTGACGCCCTACGACTTCTTGTATTTCGTTTTTCGGTGGTCTCGACATCTTTAGTTTCTTCAGTATCATCGAATAAGTCTCTGGACATGGATCTGCGGCTGCGAGTACTTCTTAGTGGTGGTTCTTCTGGTTTCAAAGCAGCTTCTTTATCATTATCTTCTTGTATTGAACTTCTACCTTTTACTGGTTTCTTCTCTTCTGCTTCTTCTTTGGTAATTGAAGGTCTACGACCTCTGACTGGTTTGGTAGTTTCTATTTCTGTTTCTTCTTTGGTGACTGAAGGTCTACGGCCTCGGGTTGGTTTGGCGGTTTCTATTTCTGTTTCTTCGGTTGTGACTGACGATCGTCGCCCTCTAGCAGCAGGCTTTTTTTCTTCTGTTATAGCTGCTGTAGAAGATTCTGTTGTAGCTGAATTTCTTCGACTTCGAGTTTTTGCAGGTTCGACAGAGGGCCCATTTTCTTTAGTTACTGATGAGGCTAGAAGAGAGAAAATGATTTTAGTATTTGTAGAGCGCATACATAAAATTATGATCAAATATTTCGTGGGGTGATTCTAGGACAAAAAAATAGAACATTATATAAATAAAAGTCGACAAGTAGATTAAAAGGGAGCTTTCACAAAATGTCTTTTTTATGAACACTATTGAAACTGTTTGAATTTTGTACTCACTCTCGAACACTCTGAATGAATAGAAAGTTGAATGGTTGAACTATTATGAAGTAAAACTACTAAATATAAAACGCTTGCAAAGGCCATTTTAGTGGTCCCGGTCGGCGACCACTAAATCCTTTGGAGTAATGGCTACAACTAATTTAGAAAAAATTTTAATCAGAAAAAACTATATAAAAATGGTATAATCGGAATTATAAAATTTGGATTTGCTCGTGATGTTTGGAAAAATGCTTGTTTACTGTCTGCTGTCTTTCTACTGTCCCAGCATCCTTTATATATGGCTGGCTCTCAATTTCTTGTCTACCTCGTTCTTCTATCCTGGTGGAAAATCCTGTAAAGATTTACAAAAGGAAAAGCATAGCTTCATAAATAACAGGTACGTTATTGAAAAAGAAGAGACCAGATGGTTGTCACTCTCAAGACATTGCATATAACCAAAAAAATAAAAATAATGACATAAAACGTCAAACATGAAAGAGCAACAAAAATGTCGTAAAATGTTGGAAGTTCTTTGTGTGCTCGCCAAACGAGACGCGAGCACCACAGCCATACTCTTAGCTGAGAGTCATACAAACATTTTGAAAGCAATTAATCCACTTTTCGACTTAGTTTCCGATTTTACACCTATTTCAAGGTTACAATTTCTAATTGCTTATGAACCGTTTCGCAGACACAAAAAATCTGATGTGTCCAACAAATGACTTTCCTATCTAGTTATTACAGGCTTTTTCCGGTTATTTTGTACAACCTATTGCAGCACCTCTATAAATGTTTAGAGGATAAACTAAATATATACATTTTCCACATACATCTACCTCGAAACATTTTTCTATAGATATTCATTTAAAACGAAAATACTAAAAATATTAACTTTAGCACTTTTCCTACAATTTTTCCATTACGGTCCATTTTAGAAAAATCATGTATAGACAAAAATTATAGAGATCGATATTGCAAACAACTTTTATTTCAACAATTTTCATAAAAATCAGAATTTTGCACATTTTCTCAAATATCTCGAATACGGTCCATTTTAGAGAAATTATGTAAGAGGATAAAAATTATAGAGAATTATATAACAAACAACTTTTGTTTGAACAATTTTTATTAAAAAATATTTTTTTACATTTCTCGAATACGGACCATTTTAGGAAAATTTTGTATAGAACAAAAATTTTAGATAATAATATAAGAAGTAACTTTTATTTGAAGAATTTTCTTCCCCAAACGTAAATAACAGATATATTCCATAAAATATAAAAATGACCACGTATAAAGTACCCCCCCAGATGTTCTGACTGCCCAAAATTTAATCAGCTCATTGGACGCTGGAACAAAGCTTAAGTTTAAAATTTGGTGTTTTCCTGTGTATCGGTTCATGAGTTATGCGACACACAGATATCATCGCGAAAATAGTCAAAACGGATTCAGGGGACCTCAAAACGTAATAATCCTTCGAAAGCTCGAGGTCGAAAAAAATCATGATTCCTATACTTTCCTTATATCTGTATACAGATAGGAAAGTAAAAATGCTTCATATATCATTTTAGATTCAGAAAAAAACGCGTTTGAGCTATATGCCAGGACTTAGAACATATTGTTCACCTCCTCCCCTGTACCCAACTACAAATAGCAAGCAATAAATACGACGTGTTTCTTTTTATAGACAGATAAGGGACAATAAGTTTTTAATTATTTTTACTAAAATAATTTCTCAAACCTCCCATGTAAACGGCATGAAAAATATCCTCGATTTTCAGAAAGTGAACACTCTGTAATTAGGTATACCGGGTGTCCCAGATTTTTTTGCCCAGCGGATATCTCGGTTATTTAATGATATAAAATTGTAAAAAAAAAATATGAATAATATTTGTCTAGTAGCCTTTTAAATTCCACTACATAAAGTTATATTCATCAATCCACCCCATAGGAACAACCCCTAACTTTTTTTTTTCAAATGTCACCCCTATATTTTTTTTCGCTGATATAAATACTCAATTTGTCCCGAATACAACGATATGATTTTTGATATACTTTACAGAGTCATAAAGCCGGTAAAGACTAAAAACCAATGTTGTGGTTAAAGTCATTAATAATTAGTTTACATTTTATCATTTTATTATATTAAAAAATAACAAATCCAATGAATAGGTAAACCTCTTAATATGTTTTTTAAATAATTGAATATTTACAAAAATTGTTCGAAATTGCCCCCATTACTTGCCAAACATGCTTCAAAACGTCGAATGAGTTCACGAGTACATGACGCTGTAATCATTTCTGGTGTAATGTTATTGCAGGCTTGTACTATTTTATTTTGCAAATCTTCTAAATTCAATGGCTGTGTTTCAAATACCACGGTCTTCAGATATCCCCATAAAAAAAATCTAGAGGCGATAAATCTGGTGAACGCGCAGGCCACCTCAAAGGGCCGCTGTTTCCGATCCACTGATTTTCAAAGCGTTCGTTTAAAAATTGGGTAACTAAATTACTATTATGTGGAGGAGCTCCATCTTGTTGCCACCACATAGCACCTCTTTCTTGTATTGGAATTTCTTCAAGAAGTTCTGGAAGGTAATTTTCAAGAAAGTGTAAGTACCTAGCACCAGTTAACGTACCTTGAAAAAAATAGGGACCTATCAGTCGTCCCTGAAATAATCCACACCACACATTTACTCCCCAGATGGTCTGAAAGTTAGTTTCCCTAACCCAGTGAGGGTTTTCAGGAGACCAATAATGCATATTGTGACGATTTACAGTAGCATTATTGTGAAACCTTGATTCGTCACTCCACAATATCTGGTTCAAAATGTTGGGATTTCGTTCCATTAAATCTTCAAAATGTGCTATTAATGTTATCCTTCTTTCGAAATCTCCAGCTCTAAGTTCCTGATGCAAATGAATTTTAAACGGATGAAAATTATAGGATTTTAGGATTCTTTGTACTGACGACTTACTAATATGAACCTCGTTAGCTAGGTTTCGCGTCGATATCTGGGGATGTACTTGCACATAAGCTAATACATTAATGCACATTTCTTCAGTTCTTACAGCAGCAGCATGTTGACGATGTTTGTCTTTTCCTGGAAATGACCCTTCTCTCATCCTAGTCTCAACATAAGAATATGTTTTACGTGATGGTTGTCGGCGCTCAGGAAACCTCTGTTGATACAAGTGTACAGCAGCACGAGAATTTTTTTGGCACTCACCAAAAATTAAAAGCATATCAACATATTCGTTTGGAGTGAATGTAAAGGGCATTTTGTCTGTTGTTTATAGCTAGCGAACAATTTCAGAAATGGTCTAAGCATATCGTTAGTTAGTTATAGGTAACAAAAAAAAAAACAAAAACGAAGCAATTCTAATCAAAATAAAAAGAAAATACCAGGTGATACAAAATTAATGACTTTAACCACAACATTGGTTTTTAGTCTTTACCGGCTTTATGACTCTGTAAAGTATATCAAATATCATATCGTTGCATTCGGGACAAATTGAGTATTTATATCAGCGAAAAAAAATATAGGGGTGACATTTGAAAAAAAAAAGTTAGGGGTTGTTCCTATGGGGTGGATTGATGAATATAACTTTATGTAGTGGAATTTAAAAGGCTACTAGACAAATATTATTCATATTTTTTTTTACAATTTTATATCATTAAATAACCGAGATATCCGCTGGGCAAAAAAATCTGGGACACCCGGTATATCGTTTTAATTCAATGGAAATTTGTAAAAAGTTCAAGTTTTGTAGCAAAGCTATTAAATTAAATTATATTTTTTATTATAAATTACTAAAAATATTATGTGAAGAAGTAATGTATAATAGCTTTTTATGAAACCAGTTATGAAATGCCTTATTTCTTAACGTCTAGATTATTTATAAAATTTTGTTTTGGTAAAAATTACTGACATCTAGGCATCCAGTATTGTTGATTGCATATGATTAACTTCTTTCTTTTATTGATAAATTGAAAATCATATTAATGTATTCTCAACGACTTATTATACTGTGTTTATATTGCTTGTTAAAGTTATTTAGATTTCAAGAAAGTGCGTTATTTTGTAGTTGATTGTTTTAATTATTTTGTGCTGATTTAGAATGGAAAATAAAGATATAAACTTTCAATAATGTATATTATTGATTTTAAAACTAAAAAAGGTTCATTTTTATGTTTTCTTTTCGCATAATGAATTTTTTCTACTCCCAATACTTTAAATTACTTATTAAATGTGTGTATATTATGTAAAATTTACTAAAAAATATTTTTTTAGTTCTTTATTATAAACGAAACGCTTTTATTGACTTACCTTAATAATTATGTATAGATATTTATTAAATTGAAACAATGTCATAAAATATTTATTAAAAATTTATACAAAAAATAAACCTACAGAAAAAAATTCAAAAACATTCACTTTAAACACATATAAGTCTAAAAGGCAAAATAATCACGAGCGTGTAAAAACTAGTTGTAACAGTGTGTAAAAACTAGTTAACACGCGTTAAAACTGTAAATTATGTCCCGATCGACCAGTGGAGTTCATATACAAATAGATAGTATTTTCATTATCAAGAGAGACAGAGTTAAAAAAAATGTGTTATCGTTGTTGGTGATAGTGTGTTTAATAATATAATATGGGAAATAGAAAATACGGTTTTCCTTCAAAACAAAAATCTGTAAAAAATCGTTTTAGAAGCTTACTGTCATCCGATAATTTAAAAGTGTAAGTATCCTTACTGTGACATTTTTATTGTTTGCAATATATAATTTTTTGATCTGGCAGTTTCTAGAACCAAAATG